TCTTCTTTCTTACTCTTGCCCTTGGCTTTTCTTCTCTCCCAGTGAGGATTATGATTATTAGCTAAATAACAGTAAAATTCCACTAGAAAAATGAAAAGAACATGCTATTTTAAACATAGCTTTCCATACCCAATTTACATATGCAAAAATAAATATATTTTATGTGTACAAATCTATGCGTAGGTGTCTCTGCATGTCCTGTGTATATATATTTATTATACACAGATTACATGTATCTGAAACTTTCCGAAACATGGCATATGTGTGTGTGAACGTATGTATTTATATAGATCTAATCTAATTTCTAGATTAGAGATGGCAGTATGGTGTAGCGAAAACAGGCTTTGTAAGTCTATTACATGTGGATTGAAAAGCAATGATTCACACATAAATTCATTCATTTGTTATCCAACAAATACATATCATTGCCAAACACTGTCTTAGGGGCTAGAGAAATAGTGGTAAATAGGACAGATTTGCTGTTATTTAAAAAAAAAAAAAAAGGGGGTGCTATTTTTATTATTTGTTATTTAGGACTTATGAAGTGGATCAGTCTTCAGGTGACAGTGTTTTCAAGTGAATCACTGTCTATATGTGTGAGGGTGAGTGTGTGCGTGGACTCGGGCCCCAGGCACAGCAAGCGAATATGCTCCTCACACTGGAGTGAATCCTGGACGGATCCAGACCCTGCACCACCATTTACCAGCTTTACTTTCTGAGCAAGTCACATCGTTCTCCCGAGTCTCCATTTTCTTATATATAAAATGGTATGTGCAATATTATAAAACTAAACAGACAGGCAGCGTTTTAGTCACGTAGACATTTTAGTAATCAAACTGACTTAACTTCCTTAACACACATTGTGGTTCTATTTTATTGTAGGATCTTCAAAATGATCTGCCTTGCAAAGCAATCAAATGTGGGATCCAAAAGTATAGCCAGTCCTCATGAAAACGTGTTGCCTTGATTAATCCTTCTAGCAATTCCATGAGTGAAGAGCAGTGGTCTCCACTCTACAGATGCGGGACCCGAGATGCAGAGGTGAAGTAATCTGCCTGGAGTCACCCACAGGTTTCTGGAGGGCTGGGACACAAGCCACCACCTGCCTCCAAAGCCAGGCTTTCAGTGGCTCTCGATCCCCTCACCGAGGCCCAAGGCTGTGGCAAAACAGCAATGCGGTGCTTGTGGACTTGGCATTGGCATCTGGTTCTCTTCACCCAGCTGATGCTTGCCCTTCTCCTGGACACTTCTGTGCTCCCTTATATATCAGCTGCTACCAGATTTCTCAAAGCTAACCCTCCATTCTGCCCCGGCAGAGACACTGGGAAGAAGGGGGCACCGGGGAGATTCAAACTGGACATGCAGTGTCTGCTAACTTCACTGAGACAGCGTCTGTCTGCCCACACATCTCCTGGTCACCTGCTGGCGGGCGCTGGACCAGCCTGGTAAGCTGCTGACAGCCACTTAACCACCCAGGATATGAGGGGAGAACTGCTGGGACCTGACTGATTACCCCTTCCTAATCGCTGGAGTCTCATCAATCCTTGAACTCTCCAAATATTGAGCAATAAGAACTTGGTTCACAGACACATGATGGTCATAGGAGGCCCCGCTACTGAGCTATGAAATTCAGGAAAAGCAGGGGAATAGGAAGACGGCCAGGGGCTACCTTGAAACTATTTTATATATAATCAGTGAGAAATGGAGGCAAGCTCCTACTTACAAAATTATTATTTTTGTTCAGCAAGATATATAGACTTAATTTTGCACAGAAAATTGCATAGGGAAAAACCTCTCAGTAGAGCCACTGAGAAGCAATTTAATATTTTTAATAAGGCAAATCTTTCTGATCACAACTATTTAGCCATGAAATCTTAAAATCTAATCAAAGTCTGTTTTTAATAAATGCTGCTTTACCGGTTTTATTGTCCACTTAAACACGTAAGAAAATTAACATTCTTTAGATGCTTAAATTGAATCCTAATGACAAACACTGAGCTTTCTAACTGCCACTTGGGTAAGTTAGTGCCTCTAAAATATGGGTTTGCTTTTCTGATATTTGGTCTCAAAATTATAAATAAGGTCACTTTACCCAACAGCCCACAAATTTCTAAACAGTTTTATCTTGCTCCCCAGCAGTCATTTAGAAACATAAAAACGCAATATGTGGCATGACAAATAAGAATAGTTGAGAGGTTTTGCATTTCATTCATTAACATTTCTTCAAAGGATTTGGGCAGGAGTTAGTCCCCTCCTGTGACTGGCACCAGGAGAGGTGACATGACTAGTGTCATTCAGTGAGACAGGAGGAAACAATCTCCTCACTTTGGAAGTTCTCTCTCTCGGGCAGTGCCCAGCACACTGGCCTGGTGCGCAGTGGATCAGGGCTCTGAGTTATGTTGCAAAGCCGTGTTGCCTAGCTGAGACTCACAGTCCTCCTCTAGAAAATAAGAATAATCTTAACACCTACCTCATGGGATTCTGAGAGGACTTAATTCAACCTTATAAAAATGTTTGCAAACCCAAATCTTCCCCTTATTAAAGTAAGAAAGTATAGCATCTTTCTGATTGTTTGTCTGTCTACTTACTCTGACCAGGCTCAAATACACAACTTGGGCCATGTTTGCGGCGTCATCTCTTTCACTGTTTAAAACGACCCTTTCCCATTGCCAGAGACTGGTCCTAAAACGGTTGCCCTGGTCCCTGAGAGTTACAAAAATGTGTGAACGAACCAACACAAAACCACTGCACGGCTAGGAAAACAAATTTGGCATTGCTGCGGCTACTGCCAGGGTCTTCCCAGCCGCTGTGCAGCGTGGCTCCCGCACCACTTCCTGCAGCCTTGTCCCAGGAGAGCTCTCCGGCGGACATGCGTTTTATCTTACGTAGCTGCTGTCCCCTCCATGGAAATGCAAGCTCCACTAGGACAGGGCTGTTTGTCTGTCTCCCTCACTGTCCTGTCCCTCCCACTAAGAACAATGATTGACATACAGGAGAATGAATGATCATAAACAGCATGTGACCATTACACACCTGCTCATACATCTTTGGCCAAAGGCAACCTGAAAATCATTAAAAGGGCTCATTAAGACTTAGGTTGCTTTTAATATTTCAATTCTGATATGTCAAAGTCCACAATCAAATAATTTGGTTATTTTTCTTTTTTATTCTCACCTGAGGACATTTTTCCATTTTTTGTTCAGATAGAGTTGGAGGGAGAGAGAGAGAGAGAGAGAGAGAGACATCGACACGAAAGGGACACATCGAATGGCTGCCACCAGCATGACCAACCAGGGCCGGGGACAAACTGCAACCGAGGTACATGCCCTTAGGGGGAACCGAACCTGGGTCTCTCCGGACCACAGGCCAACACTCTGACTGCTGAGCCAAACTGGCCAGGGCATAATCTGGTTATTTTTCACATCTTCTGCCATTGGTTTCATCAACAGTTTCTTATTCAAGTTATCTTTGTCCTTGCAGTTTTTCTCTCTGCGAAGAGGAGTATAGTTCATGCCTCAGATACTAATCTTAGATTTATAGAAGCATAAGCCCTAGTGAGGGAGTGCTAAAGACTGAATGTACATGTCCCTCCCCAAATCAGATGTTGAAACCTAATTCCCAGCAGGAGGCTGTTTGGAGATAAAGGCTTTGGAAGATACTTGGTCAGCAGGGCAAATCCTCGTGAATAAGATTGACGGCCTTACCCAAGAGTTCCAGAGCTTCCTCCCCACTTGCCCCACGTGAGGACCCGTAGAGAAGACAGCTGTCTATGAACCAAAAAAAGGGTTCTCACCAGACACCAAATCTGCCAGAACCTTCGTCTTGGGTTTCCCAGCCTCTAGAATTGTGAGAAATACATTTCTGTTGTTTACCAGCCACCCAGTGTGTGGTATTGTGTTACAGCAGCCCAGATGACGGGGGGCGTCCCCTCCCCCTGTGCGAGTTCCCCCGTACCTTCCAATCGACTCGCCTGGGCCATGACTCACCATTTGATATTCATAAATTTCCATTGTAAACTCAATCAGAAGGAGCCAAAGTGTGATTATAAACAGCACTAATAATAAACAGGCACAAAAATGTTTACCACCCTCTGTTCCCACAGCACTCGGGAGATGTCAGATGGCTCTGCGGCAGATTGGAGAGAGGGGGTTGTGTGAGAAGTCGTACCCCGACTGCTAGTGATGCAGTTTCCATATTTTACAGTTTGGGAATTACTATTTAGAAAACTCCAGCTTTGTTCATGAGCTGTAACAGTAGAAGATGAGCCCTCAGGGATCTTTAAAGATAAAAATCCGGTGGAGATGGAGGAGCAGATGAAAAAAATCCCACCATGCTGTCGCTCTCATGAGTCTATGACAGGGACATCTCTCTATCTTTATACCACCACACAGTGGACAAGGTTTGACGACAGAGGGAAGGGACAATTTTTTCCCCCTAGATTTGCTCTCCTCATGTCACTGGCTCCTGGAGTTTGGAAAACACTTCATTGTGCAGGACCTTCCTAAATGAAACTCTGCACTTGCCCAGGAAGGAAGAGGATGAGATTCGCTTCCACTTCCGGAGCCAGTGCAGACACGTGCGGAGGGGAGAGCAACGCGGCGCAGGTGGGGGTGGGGGTGTCTCCCTGTCAGCCCGTCTCACCTAGGATTTTCCTGTTTCCTTTGTGACCCTCACTTGGCCACTTCTGCATTCAGGGAACTTTCCAGACAAGCCTTGTGACTGGCTACCCGAGAGACACACAGGCCTTACATGTATCGTGTCTACTTCCAGAGAGAAAGCAGCAATGTAGATAGAGGACAATGTCATGTTTGAGGACACTGGCTTCATCTAGAAAGTCTAAATTAGTCCCCAAAGTGTGCCTAGAGGCTACCAATACATTCATTTCTCTTTTAGACCTCATCACAGAAGTTCTTTGGTGCTTTGGCACAGCCAAGGGGTCCCAGGGGGGAAGGGGTCGCAGCTCGGGCCACAAGTGTGTAACGTGCAGAGAAGGTACTCACCAGCACTGACAGTGATGGCTTCAATAAACTGCTCCCTCCAGCTGTTTGTCCCGACCACAAGGGCGAGGTTTGTCTTCTTGATAAGTTTGTCCACGGTACTCTAGACAGGTTGAAAAGAGTAAGACAGTGACTGCTGGGTTAGTGAGACCTTGGGAAATCCGACCCTGATGGTTTTGAAATCCCAGAGTTGTGTAAAGGGTGGCAGATGTTAGGCTCAGAACAACAGTGTTGACATCAAACACTGTTATGATTATGCAAACAGGCTTAGTCCTTACTTGGAAACATACTGAAATGGAAACGCGTTCTTAGCAAACGCAGGCCTCCGTCACTGCCTAGATGGCCAAGGAGGAACGGCGTTAGGGTCCAGAAGGGCAGATGTTGCGAAAGCCCCTCTCCCGCCCCCTGAATGCTTTATGAACTTGCTTCTCGAGTAGCTTTATCTACAGCGTGCTGTCTGCAACTGAATTAACATATGCCCTGCTCAGCAGTTACATATCTGTAAATAGCCAGAAGTGGCAGATAGATCAGAGCACTGGAAACTGTCACTGTACTTTTGTTTATCAATACATTGCAGCCAGACAGCAAAACCTCAAAATTGCTGCTGTGCGATCGATCATCCATAAATGGATTTTTCTCTGGCTCCTGATTTTGTCAGCCCGGTGGCTGTCACAGAATTCACTCTCACCCTACTGTTGCAAACAAGAAAACACAAGACAAGGAATGGTCAATTCGTAGAGTTTAGGGCACGTTGCAATTGACCTGACACTGAATTACCCCCCTGCTTTACTCACACGGAACCTCTTATTTCTCTTTTTCTTTCAACCATTTTTAAACACTTGGTTTTTACAATGAACACTTTTTAGCTTTCTAATTGTCACTTAATGAACAGAAGGAGCAGCCAAGCATTTGCAAGAAAGCTAAGAAAGCAGGTGCACCCAAAGCACTACTGCGCATCACAGCCACTACAGGGAGCAGGGTCACGTCCAGGACCTGAGGCTGCTCTCCCCAGAGGAACTAGCACATCGACTAGTCTACACACACCCACACTTACTGTCAGAGCATCCTCGAACTCCCACTCATTGCAAAGAGGCAAAAACACGTGTTATTTGTCTTAGGTCAAACTCTGTACATGCTTAATGCAGTGTAACTGAACTGACTACGGTTTGAGACAGAGAGCACATTATCAGCTAACTGGGAGTTTTTAAAAAAATTACTCTGAGAAGCCTGTACAGAAGGCCAAAGCGAAAGCAGAATGTCAAGTGTGTTAGTTCAGTAAGAGTCATTTGAACGGACTTGAAATATTGAGATGACATAAGAGGGTCCATCTCCACCTGGCCCACCCTGTATCTCCATCATTCTTTGCTAGCTTATTTGTCCCAGGGTGGTGCTCTTTCAGCCTCTGGCCTTGTGTTGAGAGCTGCTAGTGCTCCTGATGACAGCTGTAGCTGTCCCTGCTCTTGGCCACCATAACGTGAAGCGCATGACAAGAATCTGCCTTTTCTCTCTCGACTCAGCCACACCTCGTCAAGCACTCTGAGTGTCTTGGCTGAGCTCTGTGTAGAATGTAACAAGAAAGAACCTTGATTTTTTTTTCTACATGTGATGGAAACTTGGGGCAGGTCTCTCTCCAGAGGTGCCCTTTTTGTCCTGAAGCCCAGGCAGAAAATCCCATGCGTATCCCCTGGAGATAAACAGTTGAACACATAAACTGGTCTAACAGTTGAATACAGAATTGACTCAAGAAATATCTATAAAGAACAACATTTTAAGATAATCTAAACTTGAAATTTATAAATACATAATACTCAGGCTTGATTGTCAACTTCAGTTTATGTCAACCGTGGGGGGCTAGGAGACAGCTTGGGTTCTTCCTAGGACTTAATTTGCATACAGGTGGAGAGAATAAGATGAACCTGACGTGAGATGCTTGAACTTGGACAGCGCCACCTATGTTTGCCTCGAGGTCGCCTACACTCCAGTGATGAACTCTCCACTGCCCCAGCCTGGTCAGCGACTGCTGTAACCTACTTCGGCGATGTGTTTTAGGAAAGCCAAGCCCTCAGTCACAAGTAAACAAGAACCCAGTGGGGAAAACACAGTGGGACATTGTAAGGTGTCACCCGAACTTTGCATTTTAATGCAGTTCTGAGACCTTTAACCAAGTTCTTTAAAATAACCATAGTTTAGAAAAAGACATTTCTTAAAGGAATATGTAATATAAAAATTGATATTTGAGGGCACTTCATAAAAATGCTCCGCGGTGCCCTTCACTGATAACAGTAGCTGTACGAATGAACTTTGAAGAGATGTTAGGAAATAGTCTATGGAAGGTATTCTAGGAAGATAAGTTCCCCCAAACAACTAGACTTATGTAAAGAGACTTGGGGGACTTTTTAATGCTCAGATCACTAGAGTGGTTACCAAAGAGAGCTTTGGACTCAAGGAAGCTTTGCCGTCTGGAAGACCACACTGCCATTCCCAAGCCAGCACTTCCTCCGGGAAGGTGCCGAGATTGCTCTTCCCAGTCCCGGCACATGGAAGGGGAAGGTTGGGGGCGGTGCCATACGGGAGAGAACACACGGTTCCCCATCAGTGACCTGGGAGGGGTGGGAGACAAGCTTACACAGAAATGCCAAGCCACAGAGTCCCCGCTGCGGCAGGGGGCACCAGGCCCTCTGATTCCGGATGAAAAGAAGGTGCATGAAGAAAAGTGAGGTCGGACACATTGGACAGACTGGTCCATGGAAAGGGGCGGTCTGGGATATCTGTACTCTGGAATTACAGGTAGCTCGTGTGTGTGCGGTGACCCGGGTTCCAGATCAAGCAACAGGCGAGCTGTGGTGGTTGGGGTCCGCCTAGTCAGCACTGATGCTGGAATTCACCCCGCTTTCTCTGTCTCGGGGGCGAGTGAAAACAAACGTTAACGGATAGATTTCCAGTCGCCTGGAGGGGAACGTTTAATTGCATTTTTATCTTTTAAAAATTCTACTTTAATTGCAAAGGCATTTTTACTCTCCACCTGTCTTCCATCAGCCACCTCAATTTATGAACTAAATTAAAAATACAAATAATTAATGGTCCCAGCTAAAGGGAAAGAGGCCGCAGCAACGGAATGTCCAGGTGAAAGAGTGAAGCGTCCAAGTTGGTGGCCTGAGTCCCCCTTCTGGAATCCTCATTCTGCTTCCCAGACAGGAGCAGAGTCTGCTCTTGAAAAACAAGCGAGAAGACACTGCTGTGCTCTGGATTCGTAATTCCAAGAGCCAGGGGAACGCCTCTCCTTTCCATGCCCCTTGCAGAACGAAGGTGTGGCGTCTTCTCGGATGTTGGGGCTCTGAGTGAGACGGGAGGGGACGTGGCTAGGGGCAGAGGGAGCAGCTAAGAACAGACAGGAACTTGCACCTCTGCACACTAAGCTCACCCTAAAGCCCATTTGTTTAGCTTCTGCAAAATAACCGTCATCATCCAGAGAACTGGGAATCTAATTTCATCAGCACAATTATAAGCTCTCTGGTTACAGGCCTATACCTTCAGTATGTTGATGGTATGAAAATGTCCTGGAATCTTAAGAGGGTGACTAAATGTAAATGGGAGTTGGTCGATGGGATGTTCCGTAAAGAGAGCTGACATCTCCCCTCCAAAACAGAAGCCTCCTAATTTTCAGCACCTAACCAAAGCCCCCTCAATTTTGGTGCGATTGCTTTGCTTCTAATAGATTTATTAGCTTTTTCAAATGCAGCCTGGTTTCTCCTACACATAGCACTCTTTTGAAATCTACCTCTGGTTTTTCCTTGCTACTTTCTCAGACAAAGCCCTCCCTTTGGACCGCCTCTGACCCTTTGGCAGATGCCGCTCACCGTCGGACCCTGGTTCTGACGCTGTTTGGTTTGGGAAAACTCTTGATTCCCGACTAACTCTCTAATTCCAGTTCTGCTCCGAAGGCTTCTTGGTTGCTGAGCAAGTTGCTGAAATTACATCTGCCTCTCTCTCTGGAAAGTGACACTAGGAAGAAAGGAGGTTTGATCCCAGGATGGCCCTGGCCTCCCTGGTGGGCAGTGTGGTGAGCATACCTTGAATTCATAGGATTCTTCGATGATCACTTCCAGCCGAGTGTGTTCTCCCAGGATGGGGCGTCCCAGTTCTGCAATGCGCCTCTCCTCCTCCTCTTTGCTGGTCAGCGGCTGCTTGTCATCACATTCCTCTGTGAAAGGGAAGGGCACGAAAGTAAGCAACGTGCTCAGTTTTATTTGGAACTCCCTGGATCAGGAAACCAAGAAGGAGGGAAGCCCTAATGACCCACTAGAATTCCCTTGGTGAGATCATAAGGCTCGGGGGATACTGGATAGACAGACACTTGGTATGTCAAGCGGCATATCACTATGACAGCAAAAGATCAGAATGTCCCACAACCTAAGCACAGTGAAAATGCAGACCAGGGAGAACAGTTTATGGGGACGCATCACTGACCAAGACTGCCTGCACGTCGTCTATGTTGTGGGGATCATCCAGCTGTCCCCTGTGATGCTGGCTCATCTGGCTGTGTGTGCACATTCCTTTAGCATGTGACCGAAAGGAAACACAATTAAAGGCGCAAAAGTGACTCAAGGGATAAAGGAATCTGGTCTCTTTCTCTCCACTTTCTAGAGGCAACAGAAAATACCCCAGATGCTGGAAGGGAAATTCTGATCTCAGCCTCTCACTTGCCAAAAACTCCTATTGCAAGTTAAGAAGCAAAAAATCCATCCCATGTTTCAGGAAGATGTCTGCTCCCAAGCTTCCTCTCTCTGGTGCAAAGCTGAAATGTGCTAGGAAGACCTTGACCTTGTCAATCTTAAAGTAAACAGGGAGGGTGATGGTGAGGCCTTTGTGGAGTTAATAGTACTCACCAGGTGAGCATGATTATTTCCAGAACCACCATGTAGCTTACACTCCAGGAGAGGCTAGGTGGTGCTGAGAAAATGTTAATGGGCTTGAGAGTCCATTAATGAGGGGAAGCTCACAGTTGGCTCCTCTCTGCTTGAAGGTCATTAGGATAAATCCCAGACTGGAAAGGCCACACACACGTGCAGGACAAACACTATTCCTGTAATCACTCAGCCCCTTCATCCTTCAGGCCTTCAGGGGACACTACAGTGAGACTGGCCCCTTCCCCTCAGAGTCAAGTTGAATAAACTTCATCTCCGAGGAAGTAGTGTGGGTGGTATAGAAAGACCTCGGCCCTGATGCCTCTGTTTTCAGGACCATCTGCTGAGTGAGGAGACAGCGGAGAGGGAGGGGCTTCTAGCCCAGGCTCCCTGCCTTTTGCATTTAGGCATCAGCTTCTGCAGGAGTCCCCCCTCCCCCCAAAGGCACATGGCTTCCCTCTGCTGAGGGACCCAGCCGTGGTGGCTCCACTTCATGCCCGAGCAGATGTTGCACCAACTGGTTCCCAGGCTAGCGGTCTCTGCTGGGTCACAGAGCCGACGGGTGCGAGGCCCTGCTCGCATTTTATATGCACCACGTGTCAAACCAACAGAAGTCTAAAGCAGAAGGTAGCATATCAAGGAATTCTTTAGTATGCATTCAATAGTGTCTTCCTGAAAGGAAAATTCAGAATCTAGCAGACACAAAGGTGAGGGGCAGGGGCACTCATTTTCACTGTAAAAGTGGTCATCTTTTCTGAAGCAGGCTTGGGAAGGCAAAGGGTTCTGATTGGCGTCCCTAAGATTTGTCCTTGAAATCACGTGTATTTGAAATGAAGGGAGTGGCTGAAATATGTGACGTTCAATGCACCCAGTGCATAAATCAGTCATGTGTGATTCCTACTGCCACCTGATCCTTGAACTCAGGACAGCGTTGTCAGTTTTCACAACAGCAGGTGATATTAATGTATTTTTTCAAAACCTTGGCTGCACATGGATGGCTTGAAGACTTACATCAAGTTAGAATTATTTTCTGAGAAGAATTGCTGTTACTTAGATTTTGATTTGAATTGCAAAGCTGTTGGGGAAGAATATTTATCATGCCCCCTCCCAAGTTTTCTGTAGTTTACTTAGAAATGCTAAGTTGCTTTTAATGGGATTCAAGGTAATTTTAATGAGATTCAAGGTACTAGAAAAATTACAAAAGAAAGGTGATGTAAAGGTATTGTTTAGTCTGCATTTCACAAAATGAAATGATTTGGAACATGGTATTGAATAAATGGAGAGGGTAGTACATGAAATCGAATCACACAGTGGGGGAAAGGTTATTCCCTTTTTAATCGTCCTTCTGATCAAAAAGAAATGCTTTGTGTGGTGCTCACATGTCTGTAACTAGTTCCTGACACTTGGGTTTCCACCATTTAAGAAAGAGAGACCTGTCCCCAGGCAAAGCACATTTGACTGTATTTTGTTAGAATTTAATACATTTTTTCCATTCTAAACTTTTTAAACTTTATTTTCTACTACCGATAAATGATACTATCTATCTGTGTTAGTGACAAATTTTCTTTTGAAAACAAATCTAGGGAAGTACAAATGTAAGGCAATTTCAAAAAAATTACATTAAATAAATAACAGTATAACTGATATGCAGCAAAGGCAAAGATTATAAAGGAGGCAGGAAAATGACAAAAATTTGGGAATATTCTCTTCACTGGTGTCATACTAAAGGAAACAAGGCACCTTGTTATGTTGCTTCCTACTCTTGCTTCAAACCTGACTTGAATTTAATGCTGCACTTTTTATCCATCTAGAAAATTCCCTACTTCCACCCAGCTAAATCCAACTTTCTTTTTTTTTTTTATCCTCACCTGAGGACATTTTTTTTTTCTATTTTTTGTTCAGGTAGAGTGGGAGGGGGAGAGAGGAAGAGAGAGAGAAACATAGATGTGAAAGGGACATATCGAGTGGCTGCCACCCGCACGACCAACCAGGGCCGGGGACAAACTGCAACCGAGGTACGTGCCCTTAGCGGGAACCGAACCCGGGTCTCTCGGGACCGCAGGCCGACGCTCTAACCGCTGAGCCAAACCGGCCAGGGCTAAATCCAACTTTCAAAACCCACCTCTTCTTGCATGAAATATCCTGATTGATTTATTTAGGAACGACCACTCTAACTTTAGACTAACTCCTTAATATTTGTTGTGTGTATTGGACAGGAACCCTGCTAATATACTTTAAAATAAAAAGAATTTAAGTTACCTTGATATACAAATATCCAGCATGTCAATTGACCGAGATAGAATATGTCTCATCGCTCTTTGAACTGTGATCACAACCCCCAGAGCCTATTACAGTGTATAAAATGTAGTAGGTGCTCAACAAATTTTTTTGTGAGACTCTCCAGCTCACTGTTAGGAAAGCCTCTAATTTGTTCTTTGCGTGTAAAGACTTGTTCATTTAACACACGTCATTGCGCTCCTACCGTATGTCAGCACTCTCCAGCTCCCGTGCCCCGTTCCCAGGAACTCATGGTCCAATGGGAAGCCAGGCATACAGGTGGGACAACTTCTAGTGCAGTCAGGCCAAGGCTGAGGGGGAGGGTGGAGGAGCAGCTGAGGGCTTGGGGAAGGCTTCAGGGAAGAGGAGACATTTGAAACTGTCCTGGAAGCTCATATAAAAGCTTGCCAGGTGAAGGTGGTGGTAAGGAGGCGGTAGGGTAAGGAGGGCCATTCCAGGCAGAGAGAAGTCAAAGCACAAAGGCATAGTGTCATGGAAAGGTCAGAGCCAATTTCACTTACTAAATGTCATGAACATGTAAGAGATCATTATACTTATATGTAAATGAGAAAAGGCAGCTGGATAAATGCTATTATTGCTCTATAATGATACTGATGAGTTAGCATTTATGAAGCAGGTTTCTGACACTGGTAAAGAAGAAAGCTGAGTCTATTTTTTAAAAAGTGTCCTCTTTTAGATTACTTTTATCGAAAAGGAAATGGGTTAACAGAATTTTGTGATTATTATGTTTCTTTCACTTTGAGGTTTGGATCAAATGCAATCCATTTTACTGTGGTCGAGTCAGTTTCATTTCCTCAGTTATGCAGAGTGAGAAAATTAACTCTCTCTCTCTCCATATATCTATCCATATCCATGTATACCTTCAAACTCACCATATTTTACTACTGATAAGTTGATAATAAATCATATAACACCATGGTCTTAACTAACCAACACAACTTAAAGATCAGCTACATAATTAATAGCCACTGTCAAAATCAGTATTGAAGGGACATAAAAACAGTCCTGTGATAAAATCACCAGTAGGGGAACCTCCTTTCTCCTGAGTAATTGATTTTGCAAATGATAAATGATAAAAGCTGGCAGGTACCTGGACTCTAGACAAAGGGAACGCTGCCCAAGCTGCGCTGACGCTTGGGGCTCAGGCTGCCATCTGAGGCAGCGTCCCGTGAGCAGTGAGGGGTTGAGTGTCCCTATTAGAAAACGATACAACCCACAGGAGATCTGTGCCCGATGAGCTACTGTTGATATTCCTTAATGCATTTGCCATTTTTAATCTTAACAAACAATGTCAAATTTGGAAAGGGGTACCAAGCCAGTGGTGGGACAATTTTCTCCGGGCTGTTTTAATGTTTGACTCAGATCCATGCTGAAGGTCTGAGAGCAGAGACCTCTTGACAGTGTTCAGCACCTGGCTGGCCTCTCTGATAAGAGCCTAAGGAGACTGGCACTTTTGTTTCCATGAGGGATATTCTGGAACAAGTGTGCAGTCAGGACTGGGTATCATGATTACTGGATGGGGTGTGGGAGGTGGGGATGAAGAAGGCGTTACTGGGGCAGATAGAAGTGTTTCTACTGCCGTGGCCCATGAGGGGCCCTGGTGATGCACAGAGTGAATAGCCATGTCCTCATCCAGAGATGCAGTGCAAGGAGGTGTTTCTGGGCCCTGGACCTCAGGAGATCTGGTGGTGGAATCCCCTAGTCACGCCGTCAACGTTCCCCTCTGGAGCAGCACCACAGATGCACTATCATCTGCGCACATATGGCTCACATCATGTTGGCTGGAGGCAGGAAAGGCGGCTCTGGGAAGAAATACAGCTTGCTTTCAAAGAAACTTCTCCACATTTGGAAGGAAAGACCCATGCTCGAGAAGCAAGTTTTGTAAGACAGGCCATTGGGATGGATCTCCTCGGACAGCTCCTTGGCCACGCGTGCCTCCTGTCCTGTGCCGACGGGGCCTGTATTGTTGCTGCTGGTCTGCCGCCACCCAGCTACAGAGTGCCACTGCCTTAGTTAGCAATGGTTTAGAGGAGACAGGGGCTGAACTGTGTCACTGGAATGTCTAAAGACCTAAAGAACACTTGAAGACAGTTAACTTCAAATTAATTGCACTGTTTTTTCCAGGACCGTGATGGAATGAGTACCTGCAATGGTGATTACAGTAGAGGGGATCGGATGTTCTCTAGCATGAACTTTCCTGAAGACAGGTTGGCCTAGCAAAAGGACAGACAGAAGTCAGCAGGGTAGATGGGTCTGCTAGCAGAGCTCTGTGGAATTAGTAAGCTAAACATCACACTGAGATGCACACATCACAAGCAGTGTTAGAGGACTGAGTGGTCATAGGTCACTCCTAGGTAGGTTGCAGAAGATGGTGCAAATGTTCTACAAGCCAAACCAGATTGTATGAACGAAGCGCACACGCCACAGCCGGGGGCACAGCCAGATTCCTGCAGGCTTCTGAAAGGGAGCATTCATGTCCTTCCTGTTACTGCTTCCAGAGGCTCCATGGGACAATGCAAAGCACTTAGTGTGATGAAAGGTAGCCTGGTTTTTATACTGGTGCCAACAACGCAGCCCAGCGCTCTGCTATATCCATACCACAGGTTAGTTTGAGGGTCAAGTAACATAACATCTGGGGACATGTTTATATATTTCCTGGGTGTTCTGGCTGGGAGAATGTCGTATTCACTAGCAGGTGTTGTAAGGGTACACCATGCTCACAGCAACTGTTTGGATTACCAAGGCCAAAGGTTTTCATCAAACTCCTGGTTCAACTGACCGCCACCTCCACCTCCTGTTGGCTTCTACCAAGAGCTACTCAGACCTGACCTGGGAATCATGAGATCTTGGGACTTGGAGTCAACTTTTGCTGTCTAAACTTGAGCAAGGTACTTCTCTTCCCTGAGACTTGGTTTTCTCAGTTGTGAAATGAAACTGAACTTGAAGGGAGTTTGTTACTCTAACCTAGGTACTGGAGTGATTAAGGTGTTTTTAACTGTCAGAATTTCCATAGTTTGGCTTCCTTCCATGTACCTTATTTAGTCTATTACATGGTGAGCATAATGTGATTGGAAGAATAACTTTTAACAGAGGTATATTGACTGTTATATACTTTTAATTAATTAGGGAACTCTACCAGCTGACTGGGGAATCAAACATGCCTCTCTCCTCTCAAACTGATGACATTTATGAAACGGCTAGGCATTGAACTGAATGGGATAACGATGCAGGGAGGAATGAAGTGGTTGGGAGAATGGAAATAAAAGTGCTGGGATTGGAACAGTCATCACATGACCATTGACTTAAAGGCCAAGGGCCAGGCTCTGAGTCCCGAATGGGTGATGCGGGGTAGATTGATGAATCTTTTTTGTACCCTCATTTCCTCTCCTATAAGTGAGGACAATATCATCCTGTTCCATAAGGTTGAGGATTCAGTGATATAATAAATAAGAAATAGGGGTTATGTAAGGTGTCTGGAGGGTCCTGGGGGAATGAGCTCATAGGTCCAAACCGAAGCCTTTCAATGAGGCAAGCTCCAGGAGCAACAGGTAAAGATTTCCAAATTCCAAAAGCACCTCCAGAATGTAATGGCCCCCACTAATGAGATCTCTGAAATACAGGTGCTGGGCGGTGGACCACACAACTTTTCAATTTCCATACATCCTCTTTCCAAGTTAGATTTTCACACTCATCTGCACAAGACCGCATACAAGCTGCAGGCAAAACCCAAAGGCTAGCCCTGGCTGGTGTGGCTTAGTTGGTTGGGTGTCATCCTGTGCACCAAAAGGCTGCTGGTTCAATTCCCAGTCAGGGCGCATGCCCGGGTTGTGGGCTGGATTCCCCTTCAGGGCCATGCAGGAGGCAGCTGATGTTTCCCTCTCACATCAGTACTTCTCTCTCTGTCCCTCACCCTTCCTCTCTCTCTAAAAATCAATTGTAAAAAATCTTTAAAAAAGAAAATCCAAAGGCTAGATCAATTCCTCTCTGCTACACCTCAAAGTCTTAACTTCAAAGCCTCAAACACACTTCAAAGAAAAGCTCTTTGGGACTTAAAGCTGCTTTTGATTGTGTAGACAGAAGTTTAAAACTTTCCCCAGAAGCATCCAGGCGTCTGGTCTAGCTCCAGAGAAGGAGGGCCATATAAAGGGAGAGGCCAATGTAGAGATTCTCTCAAAGTTCTGGAACTTTCTCTCGTTCCAACAGCACTAATTTCAAGTCTTGGGAAGAGGTGGTGTCAACCTAAAAACTGAGGTTTCGGATGAAAGTTTAAGCCACAAGAGAGAACTTGGTAAAGTACATGAAGTGACAGAAACCTTCAGAAGAAGTGATTCTGCCCCCTTGGGTGCAAGACGCGGCAAGGCACAGATGTCGCACATAACTGGACAGACATCCTAGAACTTCATAGGAACTGTTTCTGAGAAAAGAGAACTGGGATCCAATTACTTAAATACTAAAAGGGAAGATGCCTCAAGCGATACAGAAGGCAGGCCCTAAAAGAAAAATCCTGACACATTCAGCGATAAAAGAAATAGTTAGATATCCACATACCTCGATGCATTTTAACAAGGCATTCATTCTACTGCAGAGACTGTAATGAAGGTCTCATTACCAGGCTGCACAGGGCTGAGGGTGCTGCTTGATACGAGACTGTTTCAACAATGGTTGACTTAAAAAAATATGACTTCAGCCCTGGCCAGTTTGGCTCAGCGGTTAGAGCGTCGGCCTGCGGTCTGGAGAGACCCGGGTTCGGTTCCCGCTAAGGGCAAGTACTTCGGTTGCAGTTTGTCCCCGGCCCTGGTTGGTCGTGCGGGTGGCAGCCACTCGATGTGTCCCTTCACATCGATGTTTCTCTCTCTCTCCTTTCCTCTCTCTCCCTCCCACTCTATCTGTACAAAAAATGGAAAAATATCCTCGGGTGAGGATAAAAAAAAAAAAAAATATGACTTCAAGGAAGCCTTGAAGCTCAACTTGCCAAAATTCTACCGTCCTCAAATCTCACAAGGATAACTAACCGATTGGATGACAGAATCAGAATATTCCCAGGAAGACTTCAATGAGTTAAAATGATGGATGAGAAAAGGAAGATAAAAAGATTAAAAATGAGTGGAAATTCCTGCATTTGGATTGGAAAACAGCACGTACAGCAGTGCAGAACTGGGGAGACTTGACCCAGGAGAGCTTCCGATGAATCAGATTTAATAAATCCTCTACCAGGACTTGTCCTGTTTAACGTTTTTATCCTTTTCAATTTTGATGTCTCTGAGAGTCTATGAGTCATTTTTGTCATTAAATGTTTTGTCTGGAGCGAGGCAGTGGAGAGTAAGAGCCCATGTGAAGTTGTTTGTATTCATAAAATTCCACTTTGGACAGAATCATGTTGGAACTACTTGATCATGAGTTTACACTAACAGTGGTTTAAGTTAACCCCTAACCCTACCACAGCATTTTCACGATTAAAATATTTGGAAACTTTCTAAAGTTTTTTGTTCAACTATCTAATTTCAGGAAAAAAAAAAAAAAAGAATTAGAATTCTGGTATCTGCTCAGTATATTGGACGCTTGATATTTATCTCCCTCTTTAAATCTGCACAGACAATTTGAAAGAGAAAATATTAAGGGTCAAAAGAGAGGATGCTGTAAGGAAATACCTTCTTCTGTATACAAGAAAATAGCTCTAGAGTTGTGCTAAACAATGGAATCAACACAGACTGGGTACCTGTGTACACAGGCTGAATTTAAGGGCTTTCAACTTTTTGGCTGGCATTTTAAGTTTTATAGAACATTTTGAAATGCTCTTCAAGTGGTAGAAATATTACTCATTAATTTATAAGTGTTAATAATGCTAAAACCTAAGTCACCAAAGAGGGGTTTGTTCACACTGGTGTGGTGGGATGATGGGAAGGGGCTTCTCTGCCTTCTCCCAACAGGGTATGCATTACTATTAGTTACCTGAGCTTGGGCCATGGAGAAGTCTTAGGTGTCAACTCCTGTGTTTCCTTGTCTTATTTACTCTGGTACTTTTTAGGTCATCTAGCAGGGTATACTCACTGCACAGCACCAGGGCTATGTGGACATTTGTAAATTGACCAGTGTCAAAATGTGACCAATTACAGGATCTCCATATAAATTTGCATATAAATGAACACAACACACACCGTGTTAATGTGTAAAATGTTAAATATCTAAAATCAGCAAGAACACACCATGTGCTACAGCTAAGTGTTAATACTCAGGTTATATAAGATGAAGTATTGGTTTTGTTTTTAAGGGTATTTGAAGAAAATGAGGAACATTAAAATATTTGTCTTACCATACAGGTATTTTCCTTCATTAAAGGAAAGTAAAAGAGGAGAAATGATTTTTTTAAAAATCTGCACAATATATGGTGAGAACAGACAGTAAAGAGTAAAATTTGAAGTCGTTAGATTTTAAAAATTCATACCTGTTATCGTGAAGCCACCTAAAAAAGAAAAAAATAAATAAATGTTAAAATTTATTTAACTCACACTCTAAATAACAAATACCAGTGACATCAGACTACCTGCCAACCCATCCAAGACATAAAATCTGGCCAAATTAATTTTACAATTAAGAAAAATATGAAAACATCTTCTCATGACTTAATCACTAATTATTCTTTTAAGATTATGGGATTTAGTGCACACATTTAATTTTGTGCATACCCAAGAAATCACTGATTTTTAGAACTGGAATATAAACTATCTGACCTTAACAAAAATGAGGTCAATGGCCCTAAACACAAGCTTGCTAGTAAATCAATAGAAATAAAAGTCAGAAAGCAATTGTATCACCTGACTGAAATGGAAATTGACCTAGAAAAATGGAAAGGAAATGCAAGAAATGAAATGCTTACCAAGCTCATTCAATAACAGGGCTGTGAAGGAAACAGACAAAGACAAACACAGAATAAGAGACCAGATGAATAATGAAAATAGGAGGAATATCAGCAGAAAGAAGTCCAGGCAGATCTGATTACAGTGGTAGGGAGCCACTGACAAAGAACTGGTGCACCCCAAAACTAGTGGCATTTGAAATATTTCCAAATCAATAATCCCATCACTAATTTCTGCAAATGTTGTGACTGATTTCATATATATATATTTCACTTTGTATATATTTTTTTTACATGTAAACATTTCTATTATATATGTTTACATGTAGTATATATATCTGGTTTACTAAGTATAGTAGAAACACTTTAAGAAGATAATCCTAAAGTTTATTTGAGTGAGTCTTTTCATGAAATATTGTCTGGGAGTTAGTTAATTCAACATATGGAAGTCTTAAATCATCCAGGATTTCAGGTATTACACCTCTCATTCCATGAAAACAGATAAACCATCTTAGGGAATTTCATCTTGGCCACCCTTCCTAGAAGGACACTTTGGTCCATTCATTTGTCTGTCCTTATCTATGACTTCTGCACATTGTAATTGGACAACCAGAATGCTTCTGTGGATAGATAATTCCATGGAAACTAACAAGGCATGGTGGGGTGGAAAATACATACTTTTCTTTCAGGTTATGTGCTTTAAACCCAGACTATACTGTAACATTTCATTTTGGTGAAAGCTATTTGTCTGCAAACAAATGACTTGCAGACTTGTAGATGGGAATGGTACAATTACTTTTTCAGGCCCAGTTTTCCCTCTAATGGTAGCGGCATTAGAGGATACTCTAAAACAAGTTAGTAATTTTATTTATAGTGATAAGTATCTACTTGGCAGGCACAAAACTTGATAGTGCTATCAAGGAATTTTAATTTGCTTTTACATGAGGGCATATTTTATTAAAATGACAATTGAAAGAGATGCATCCAAGATGCTCTCTCTTTAGATAAAAGACAGTTTTTTGGAGGATTTCAGTTAGAAGTAAGTGCTTTTTCCTGTATGTTAATGAGGCATTTTTTATCCCATTTTTGTAAGAAATCAGCCCAATTTTCTAAAGTGTATTTTCCTTCCACCTATTGTCCCTGGAGCATATTAAATAGGCTGAATTAAAATGGGTCCCTAGTGCTTTTTTTCTCCATATTCCAAAGGCTCCTGTTACCATCTTGAATATGATTAAGTCTGGAACATAAACTTTTTTTTTTTTTTCCCTGATGGACTCTGAAGCCATTGAGTTCTTACAAATGTGGGATTAGTTAAATTCCCCCAAATGTTGAATCTGTATAGAAATTAGTCCTATGATTTTTTAACACATAAAAGTATAATTTTCTTGCAAAGTGGTCCATCTAATCATCAATTGTTTGTATGCAATTACTAAGAGCTACTAATATGTAATATGCTCATTTTATACATATAATTAATTGAATAGGATTCCTTTTAAAATGGCCACAATTAGAGGGTAATTACAGGAAGTTCTCATAATGATTCAGAATAAAAAATTACCTTTAAAGCTGATATAAAATTCTTGCCCTCCCTTATTAAATTTAAGCCACATAAAATAAATATAAAGTCAAAGAGAACAAAGAAATTATCTACTTTATTCAGATATTTTCTACAATTGTAAGTACAAATCAACTAGGATACGGCTATTTATTTTTTCTTTTTACTATGTTAGAACTTTGTCATTTCTATAAAAGAAAGATTTTGGAATATAAGGCTGGAGAGGCCTTGAGCAAGTCCTAAATTCTTACAGAAGGACCGTTATCCTTCCTATTTAAAGAAAATCGATGTGACTATGGTTCCATACATATGGTCCCTTTTACATGTCATATTTGATTATATAAAAATATTATGTCCAAATGAACACTAGAATATTGACACCACTACTCTTTAAAGATTGTGTTCTTATTAAACATATTTTTGAAACCTGGTCCTCTGGAGAAACCTAATTATTTAATTATTTTGAAATTTCCTTTTAGTTGCCATTAGACTCATCTACCACTGCTAATAGGTAATAAAAGTAGTCTTTATCACTAACATCTTAGGGGAGATTCAATCGTTGGAACGAAATTTGAAAATGATCCCTGAATAGTGAAAAATTAAACACACCCATTATTCTTTTATGACATCGTTTCTGGGTGCCAAAAATCTCTTCCAGCATTGATTAAATCTGGTTCCAATCAGGGTTAGTGGGCATTTCCTGAAGAAAATGGGCATGGCTAGGTGCACTGGTGAGCCAGGGAAGGGAAATGAAACTGCTCAAGCTTCAAAGGAGATGAAGTACAGTGCTGAGGAAGAGGAGAGAGTTAAGTGTGAGAGCAGGAGCCACGGAGAGAGAAGAGTACAATTTCTCGCTGGTACGTCTTTGTATGCTCTCACACCTTTCATTCCTCTTCTTATCCATTTGGGCTCCTCAAGCACAAGGGAGAAACTGCACTCTTTCTCATATTCCTCACGGTCAAATATTCTAATGGTAATGATCTTCCTGTGGGAACACAAGACAAAGGCAAAACAAATGGTTGGAGTCACACGCTCATGCTGGGTGTTCACCAAGCTGAAGGTTACTGTGATGTTATGGAGGGAGAGATGGCAACACATGGACCTCCTGAAGTATGTAAAAGGGCATCTTGGGTGTTCTCGGCTGGCCCCCATTATGTGTTCTTTGCTATTTTATCACGTTTACAAATCCTTCCTGCTCCAATGAGCAGTGAGGAGGTGCCCCGAGTTGGGAAGAGAAATCGGAAGGCAGGTTCGTTTAGCATGGCAGGCGTCTGCGTCACGGTTCCCAGACGGGGGTTTGATGGGCCGCACTGAAAATTACTAGCCCAGGCCTGAAACGTGCAGAGTGGCCCAAACTGGCTAATGGAGCGACAGGCCGGGCCCCTGGTGGCCCCTGGTGAGAGCCATGCCCTGTTACATAGGCGGAGGGATATGTGTGTTGGAAGCCACGTCTGAAGAGTGCAAGCATCCAGGGTGGCACCGGCAGCAGAAGCTGTTGGGCTCGGCCCGGAGCCGCTCCCCCACCTTTCTTCTCACTCATCTCCACCAGGCGGGGCTCTCCGATCTCAAGGTAGAAGGTCTTGTTTTTCTCATACTCCTCATCATCAATTACCTTGACTGATATTGTTTTGCTGAAACAGAGAAGAATAGAAATTGACAAACAAGGGGAAGAGGAAAGAGAAGAGAAGGAACATAAAGAAGAGGAAAGCAAGGTTAACGAGCTGCACGACCAGACAAACCGCCACTGAGATCTGCGCTGTTTTTCCATGAAGAACGCGAATGCGTTAGTTCTGGAACATTGGAGAGGTCATCCGAGCCATAGCTCCCTGCCCAGGGCAGAGTTATTTCAGGCAAAACACAGCACTCAGTACCAACAGGTTTGTCGTCATCGTGAAAAGGGAGAGCAGAAGAACACAGATCACACTAATAGGAAAAGAAATATGTATTTATTGAGTAAATGCCTTAACTGTAGGACTGTCCAAGCTGCGCCCTGGAAATCGCTCCTTTAGAACAAATCAATAAAGCACATCAGAACGTTAACACAGCTTATCTAGGAGTGTTAGGCTTATGGGTTATTTTTTGTCTTCATTGTGCTTTGCTGTATTTCCAAACATAATATTTTCAACTTAAGATTTTATTAAAATAATGAATGTACAAAAGCACCGCAAAAGAAAATAGAAAGTCCTTTATCTTACCCCACCCAGTGTCCTAGAATTTAATCGTACTCAGCTTAGTCAGATTTCCCACCGAGATCACAAGGGGGAGTTGTTCATGCTTTGTTTGTCTTCCAAAGATGGAAGCTGAAGATGCTCAACAGCTGTCTTGAAAAGTGAGGGGTGAGGTGTTACGATGTTACAGTTATTTTCATCCCACCCATAGCTGAGTTTCAACTTTCACAAAATAACACCATTTACCCTACTTTTAAACTTCACTGCTATACCAAGGAATTTCGTTAAGAATTCTTCCCATAACCCATCCTTTTGGTGCCTCTTGCCTTATGGTCTTCTGCTTGTGAGTGACTGACAAGTGGGTGGGACAAATGCAAATATTATGTAAATCTCAACTTCCCAGAAGCCTTGAGGACTCTGAAAATAGATCTAATGTTAATCTCTTCATGTATTATAACTTACTCAGAGCTCCTAAAGGCTTGTCTTTGAAAAAAAATATATTTTTCAATAACATTGGCAAAAACCACTTCTGACTAAAGTTTCTGAAACAATGAATTTAGAAAGACACATGGTTTTTTGTTGTTGTTGTTTTTGTATTTATCTTCAGACAGAGTGGGAGGGAGAGAAAGGGAGAGAGAGAAACATTGATGTGAGAGGGACATATGGACTGGCTGCCTCCTGCATGACCCCGACTAGAGCCAGGGACAAACTGCAACTGAGGTATGTGTCCTTGCCAAGAATTGAACCTGTGACTCATTGGTCTGCAGGCCGATGCTCTACCGCTGAGCCAAACTGGCCAGGGCTAGATAGACACACAGTTTTGTTTTTGTTTTTTTTAAATCCTCACCCGAGGATATTTTTCCATTTTTTGTACAGATAGAGTGGGAGGGAGAGAGAGGAAGGGAGAGAGAGGAAGGGAGAGAGAGAGAGAAACATCAACGTGAAGGGACACATCGAGTGGCTGCCACCCGCCCGACCAACCAGGGCCGGGGACAAACTGCAACTGAAGTACGTGCCCTTAGCAGGAACCGAACCCGGGTCTCTCCGGACCGCAGGCCGACGCTTTAACCGCTGAGCCAAACTGGCCAGGGCTAGACACACAGTTTTAATGGCATGGACATTATTTAGTTTTGGTGGAATTTTCAGTTTTCTATACAGAAACTGATTTACATATATATATTTTTTAATTTTGTGAATCCATACCATCATTTCATTTAGATCTATGTATGGCAAAGAGCATCAGTCTTTTTTATGAGTAGTAGAAGTTGCTTGTAATTTCTTAGTTTCTCAGCCCCCGATGCTAAACGCTTTAGTCCTGCTTTCTTGGACTAGCATTGTAGAGTGAGAGCAAATGACTGGTCTGGTCCTCTGCAGCCCTGTAACCCACTCTGCTCCTTGGCTGCAGAATATCCCTGCGTGCTGCTCACATCACAGTTTTTCTCTCCTAAGGAGCTGATGACAGTGCCCTTTCTACCTCAGTTTTGTCCTCAAAGACTGCAATGCTAAAGCTAGATGAGCAGCTGTACATGACTAAAGCAACACTCATTTGTTTTGGGATAGTTAGATATTTACTAACGATGTGGCAAAATCCAACTTCCAGTCTAATTTCTAGAACAAGTTTCTGAAACTCATCTATTTACTTAGCATATAAAAGAAATCAGCCTGCCCTGACTAAACTGGGATCATTCCTCAATACCCACCAAATACAACATATCAGAGAAAGGTCAAGAAGGTGGAAGAATGCCGGGTGTGCTTTTTATTTCAGAACTGAACTTGATGCTATAAGTGAGATGAAATTTACTCAGAAAAAACTTGCCAATCGTCTACCCTCTGTCATCAAACTTATGCATTCTAGGTTTTAATTTCCATCTTACTCCTTCTAATCCTAAGTTATAGTGTACATCTCCACTAAAGCAGTCAGCATCGTAAGATCAGGTATTGATGGGCATTAGAAAGGCCATTCTGCCACTGTGTGACCTGATGGCCCAGGATTCATTATCAAAGCACTTCATGATCGGGTCCGTTAAACCAGATGTCATATTGCAATGCTTTTGCTCATATTAATTAAGAGCATTTGATTTATCTTTCTTCATCTTGTACTCCCAACCCATCCTGCACCTCATCACGGATTTCATGAAATTGTAGAAATAAAGAAAGCACAGCGGAGATGCATGGAGTAGCCTTGCTTAATAGGGCAAGGGTTTGCTGAGGGAAGGCTACTAGTTTCATGCTCCAAGGGCAACATGATCATTGATTCACAAGTAAATGAAAACAGCCAAATAACACATTGTTTCTAATCCTTGATGAATTTCATCCTCTACTCGGTAAATAGCTTTACTTTCTATACTCTGAGTAGCTGATGACTGTATGAAATAGAGGGCTCCACACAATGTGTTTGTATAAAAGAGAAGCAGCACTTTAAATTGATCATTAGATCATCACCATTCACTAGGGTCATAATCCTTAAAAATTATTTCAGTATTTGATACCTGTGACACTGGAAAATCAAAGACGAAGGAAAAGAAAACAGTCCCTCAGCGGGTGCCTGGCAAACGTACCTAAAATAGATGGGGCTTGCATAATGGCATATCATTTCAAAATCATTAGTTACACGATCAATACTGCCCCTGACAGGAGGAACCATTAAATTTTATATCGATTTTTCTCCCCTTGCACGGTAAAGCAATTAATTGAAATGTGTATTAAAGGACATGTCAATCAATTTAAAGAGGCAGCGTGAAGTCAATCCTTATGAACTAGCCCTCTGGATCAAGACAGGCAGACATCAAAAGGGATTAGTAACGTCTCCCTTCTGCTTCAGAGCAGATCTGTTTCTCCCATTAGCAAAGGTAAAATTAAGTTGTGTAATTTTTAAAGGGATGTTTTTTGCTCACTTTCCAGGCCTAATGCATACAAGAAACTGTTAGCACGACTTCCATCACAGGGCTACCTGACTGAGGTTGGTCTGGCGAAGGCTCCACTGGCACCGTCTGGATGACCAGCAGAAGCAGGCCTCTGGTCCTCACCGTTCCGCAGCAGAAATAGAATATGCAGGGCTGGAGGGACCTTAAAGGTCCCCCAGTCTCCCCCACTGCCACACCAATCCCACAGTCACAGGCCTTTGCACTATCACAGGGACCCTCCCTGAGACCACAGATTCACGCCCTCTGTTCTTTTGTTCTGGGTACCAGTGGGCACAGCCAGAGAGCTGTTATTTCTTTAGAGTAAAAGGTTGATCAAAACAAAACTAGAACAGCAAGGTAGACATAGCCCCTCATGCAACGACGATCCTCGCACTATTAAGGGACCAACAGAACGTTTTTTCGTAATTATTATGAAGAAAGTAAGAACTTCCCATTTGAATTTCTTTTATACCTCTCTAAAGTTGAACAACGTAGTATAAAAATTATGTTTTCTGGAAGCCAGAAAATCAGTTTTGATACATTAAATAATTTCTCAAAGTGGCCAAAATTTTTATGAAAATACATTTTGGTTCCATTTCAGAGTTGGGGGAAGCATTGGCTAAGAAAGATCAATTTATTTCGTGGAAACGTACACGCTGTTTTGTGATTTCTGCCGTGTCTTTCCTTTGATGATAGTAAACCAACGTCTCTACTTCTCAGTCTCTCTTATTTGATGGGTCTCAAAGGACCTGAACACATCAAACATTCTAACCAGGAGCTCTCATATCAGGCAGCGACTCAGGGAGGGTGAAGGCGGAGGAGGCGGCTTTATTAGTGGGAACTAAAAGGAAAAATCTCTCCAAACTGTGTTCTAGTCTTTCATCATTAAGCCAAAGTTGTATCACAGTCTTTTTTTTTTTTTTCAGTTTCAGCTTCAATTTGTCCTTCTGTGGTTTCTGTTCCCTAAGACTGCCCTTAATGTTGGCAGAAGTGAGAAAAAGACAGCTTGGAAGATTATGCAGAAGAGAATCTTTCTACATCCTCATGCAAACGTTTTTAGTGAGGATTTTTACATATTTAGATACCGCAGTGGTGCTTTTAATTTTATTTATTTTTGAAATCCTCACTCGAGATTTATCTTCAGATACAGTGGGAGGAAAGGGGGAGGGAGGGAGAGAGAGTGAGAGAAACATCGATGTGAGAGAGACATGGATTGGCTGCCTCCCGCAGGAGCCCAACCAGGGCTGGAACTGAATCACAACTGGGGTGTTAGGAAGACACGTGGAATCAGAAATGCAAAGTGCCCATCAGTCCATTGACCTCTGAGTATGCCTAAAGAGGGTTTAAATCTTAAAAATAAAATTAGATTAGATTAGCCCTGGCCAGTTTGGCTCAGTGGCTGGTTCATGGAGAGCCAGAATCTATGGCCTGATGTTTAAAGGAATGTATTAAATAAAGAATAGGTAGAACGTGAGGAAGACAGAGTCAAAACTAAAATGTAGATCAAGTTAGTAATCTAGGTTGAAACATGGGAGAAACCTTTTTTCCTTCACAGTGTTC